CCTATGTAATTTCAACACAGGTACAATTTCCTTTCCAGCCTGCTTTGAAAAAGATACAGGAGGGGCTGGGGATTTAGCTCAGCGGCAAAAGCGCCTGCCTGGCAAGCGCAAGGTCGTGAGTTCGGTTCCCGGTACCGGAGAAAAACCAAAAAAAAAAAAAAGAAAAAGAAAAAGATACAGGAAAGTGTGTTCATATATTGGGGCATATGTGTATATATGTAAATGTATGTGTACATGTGTAAATCTATGTGTATACATGTAAATATATACATGTGCTCATTGTAAGTCTTATGATGAACATGTAGCACACAATTCACAAATAATAATATGTCATACTCTATTATAAATTAATTCTGTACAGCTGATTCTTGCAGAGTATTTTCATTGTTTTTTGCTGTAATTGACTTTTTTTATTTTAAAGAGGAAAAAACTAACAAAGCAACAACAATGAAGACAAAAACAAAAACAACACAGAAGCAACAAAAATGATACATGACCTCAAAACGAAATGATAGGAATTAACAATGGTTGCTACACTACCTGCTGTTATCTTCAGCTAAGTTGCTCAGTCCACCAGCTGTAAGAATGCAAGATAATGAATATAATCATGTAACCACATGTAAATGTGGTTGATACTTCTGTTTATGTTCCTGAGTAACTATGTGTGAAACAACAAAATATGAGTAAAGAACAAAACTAAGAGAAAAGTGAAACAACAAAAATATGTCAGGAATAGTCTTTATAAGTAACACCAGTAACTTCTTCGCTAAATTGGAGAATAGATCTTAAGAACAGTAGACTAGTTCCTGAAATGTCCATGGTATTTATAATGTGACAGCTATATACAGAACACTTCTTTTTGTTTAACCTGCGTTATTGGCATTTTATCTATCACTTTCTTAAATTTGGACAATGAACAAAACAATAAATCAGACCCAGGCTTGTAGTATTTGTTAATTTGTGGTATATGTGCTGATTACACTCACCACAGCCATTTCTAACTAGCATTGTGCAGAATCAGGAAGGTATGCAGCAACACAGCTTTATATATGTCCACATACCGATAAAATACAAGACAATCACCTAAAAACATAAATAGTAAGAAATAATAAAGTAAAGCAAATTATTTAGCAAGTGGTGAATTTTGAGTATGTATTTCCTTTGTTTTTAACGTAAGTTATAAAGCTGCAAGTTTATATAATTTTAAAGAATGTGTTTAGCAAATAGCTTACACATTCCTGAAAAATATAACAATTAGCCCTTGTAAACGCCTACAAACCACCTCTAGCATAACACTGGTCCTTCCTCTTTAGACAGTGGGGGTAAGAAGTGGAAAGAAGAGTTTGAAGCATGACTGGCAATATTTTACAGGTTGATTTTCCCCCTACTTAAAAGTTAATTTTTAAAAAAAATTTTTAGAATTACCAAAGACAAAGAGCCATTTCCTAAGTCTCCAGGAGTTATTTCCTACCTTCCTCTCCATAAATATATTTTCATTTTTAGTACTGATTATTGGTGGCCTCAAAGACTCTATCATGATATGTTTTCTAAAGAAGTTTTACAGACTATAAGGATCAGAAGTTAAAGTTAAAAGGGGAGTGAGCCTCAGGGCTACTCTCTTGCCTCTGGTTCCTCGGGTATTTCCATTCCGCTGACCAGCTCACTGTATTCAGGACCCAGAGGCGGAAGACACAATAGTAATTGATGCTTTAGTTCCACTTTTCACTTCTGCAATTCTTAGGGATTCCAAGGCAAGAAATCCACATTATTTCTGTCTTTCATTCTTGGTCAGCAAACAAATGGAATTCCACAGTGTGAAACACCTCTGACCTGTCAGCTTATACTCCAGCAGGAGTGTGGGGAGGTACAGGGCTGGATGGGCCTCAGGAACAATGGGTAAGGGCAGTGATTCCATCAGGAAGCTTGAATAGATGGACATAGTGACAGACCCTCGTTCAATGAACTCCTCCATCCAAAACACAAAGTGTTGTAGACGAGCATAGTGACACACACCTGTAATCCAGGCACTCTGGGAGGCTGAAGCAGGAGGATCACAAGTTTGATCCCAGTCTGGCAATTTAGCAATTTAGCAGAACCTTCTAAAAACAGGTGGGTGGGAGGTATATCTCTGGGTTCTGGAAACAAAGAAACAAAAAGATAAATGGCTATAAAATATTTTATATATGAAAGAAAATAATATGAGTGCTCCTGTACTCATCACCCACACATTTTTCAATATTTGGTTTAGATTAGTAAAGATTATAAAAAAACAAATTATTACAAACATACACAATCCAATCTTCACATGCCTCTTTTCTGATATTCTACTCTATCATTCACTAACAAAAACCACAATCTCATGTCTTAATCCATGTTTCCCTTTACCAATGAATAATATCCATTATTTCTTCACAATTTTTAAAAAAGTTTTTATAAATCCTGTCAAGTAATATGTGCCATTCATTTTCTGTCAGTGCACAGTTGATCTTCATATTTGATTTTTAATCCAGCATCTCCAATAATTTCTCCAATTTTAACGGTATTTTTATAGACCATTCAAGGATTTTTTTACCATCATACACTCTGAAATCAAGGATAATTTTTTGTCATCCTTTCTACTTCTTGGGCCGCTGATTTTGCTTGCTTGTTTTGTTACACTGCCCTGGGCCTCCAGTTCGCATTGAATAACCAGTCATGCTTGACTATTTAACAAGAATATATTTAAAAGTCCACTGTAATAATGTTTGCTGCATGCAAACCAAATCTTTAATAGGGGTTTATGCTCCTGTTCCAAGCTAACATTGGGAATGTTCAGGATCCAAGATCCTAAGCTAGGGCCAGTTGAGTTCACCTACTTTGTAAAGCAAAGCCCTTATTCCCCCTCCTTCTAAGGCAGCAGCTGTAGCCCAGAAGAGGGACAACAACCTTTACCTGTGTCCTCTGACAAGCTGGGAGACTCACCATCAACTTCCAGTCATGAGCCCAATTTCAGACTTCTCTTTGACATCAGTCATTTTTACTCCCTGATAAACTATAGGTGCTAAATTCCTGGCCCAACCTGAATTCAAGTCCTTTTTGATCTTTAACTACAGACTGAATTCCAGGGTCCAGCTGGCTAAGGGCTTCACCTCTTCCAACCCCATTCCCATTTATCTCTTTATGGTTTAATTTCTGATCTACAGGATAATTAATTTCATTTTTGAATGGGGCTATATTCTTAATACTTGATTTGCCTCATGCAGTCCCATCATTGTACATGATTTTCTGGAGGAATGAATTGAGAATCAAATGAAGTGTTTTAAAATCACAGTAAAATTATAATAATGAAAGGAAACACTGGTATAAACCTGGTATATTCTCTCTGCCTAGAAAGCCTCTGGTTTTCACTCTGCTTGCATAAATCTCAATCAGCTTTCCACGACTCCTTATTCAACCTCATGTTTATTCTTCCTTCAATAAGGGTGCACTGAGCACTCTCACACACTCAGCTCCAGTCTACCTCTGACAATAGAGCTTAACGCTGTACGAGAAGGCAGGTTTGACTCCGGCTTCAGAAAATGTACGTGTAGCATGAGGAACAAACAAGAAAATATGATGTGATAGGATGAGAATAATGACATTGAGGATTCTTACAATTAGAGCATCCCATTTAATAATTGATGAAATACTTCTATCATTCCCTGATTTTCACATATGCATTAATCAAGTGTTCCCAGCTCTAAAAAACTTATGAAGAGCATATATACTGCAGGAAAGCTGCTCCTCTGTGGCAGCTAGGGAGCAGGAGACAAGAATACATTCTTCCAAATTACATCCTTAGTGGCCCACATCCAACCAAGCCCCACTTCTTAACATAACATTCAGCTACTGAACTTATGAATGAATGAATCCACTGTTGAGTATAGTGCTCACACGACCCATGAATGGACCAATCCACTGTTGAGTATAGCACTCACACGACCCATGAATGGATGAATCCACTGATGAGTATAGTGCTCACATGACCCCATGGCTCACCAAACATGTGAGACTGGGAAGGGGGCATTTTATATCTAAGTATACATCTCCATGACTCCACTCATTCTATCTGCTTCCAGGGACCATTGTGCTGACACAATTGAGTGATTTTGATCTTGTAGTGTGGTCTCAAGGCACCAAGGCACACAAAGAGTTTGTTTTAGGATCAGCTATTTTTGCTTTCAGCCAATGGATTTTGTAGAAATTACGGAACACTTGTTGGTACATTGAGATCTTTAGAGTCACAGAGTTAGTGTTTGGTTATGATGTCTTAATGCTAACTTATTTAAAGGCTGGAATAACATTATTTCTAAATTGTGAAGTATACTGTCTTTTAAAAGGACAGGACCCAAGAGAAAGGCTCAGACCTGTATAAAAGACACAGTAAAAGCTATCTACCCAGGATAGGAATTGTTGCCAGTCCAGAAAAAAACTGTCCCAGAAAATTTGAGCATGTATCCAGGTATTTGGATCAAAATAAAAGATAACAAAATGACAACAACCAAGTGACCATAATGAGAGACAGAAAATACCAAACAATGGTGAAAATACAAAGCAACTGTCTCTCTTGTGCAGTAAATAAAACATTTGATGGAACCAATTTGAAAAACTGGATTTAACTCTAAGGATCATCATGTGCAATACAGCAGTTCCCTACAATATAGCAATTCCATTCTGATGTATTTGCTCAACATGCGCATGATGGTATATTCACACAGTGAAACACTATACAACGAGAATGTGAAGTCTTCTACTGTATATAATCATGTGAGCAAATCTCACCAAAGATGCTGAATGAAAGAAACTAGTCAGTGGAAAGTGCTGAATAATTGTTAATCATTGTAAATTCATATTAGGAATTGATAACCAGATACATTCCAAATGGGTGCATGGTAACATGGTAACAAGTTGAACCTTTTCTGTCTTACCTTTGTTGCCCTTAATGCTACCATGGCAACACCAGATGAAGCATGAAGAAATGACTGTCCTACAGAGGGACTGGAAAGATGCTAAGACAGCAGAGATTCAAGGCCAAGAGGTCAGTAAGCTAAGACAGGACATGAACATCCTGAATCGGGTCCAGTTCTTAGCCAGATACTTGTGGCAATAGGAATGAAGCCAAGGAAAAGCAATGCAAGGGCAAGAAGGCTGAGGATGTGAAAATCCAAATCAACTGGAAGAGGTCGCATATTGAGTTAATGTTCCCTCTGGGCACTCAACTACTGGAAAGGAGAGGGAAAAAAGGAGGATCTTATACTTTTAAGAAAGACCACAACTGTGGCAGAATAGGGACAAACCGTGATGTGATACTAGGGTCAACTATTCCCTGGTACAGCTGCATAAATTTCAGGTGGATAAAGATTAGAAGGCAAGGTGTGATTTGGAAGCCAAAAGTGGGCCTGGCTTACCTCAAACTCACCAGAGCCTATAAGAAGTGCTTGGATTTGCACTGATTATAGGTAAGGGAGAACTAATTCCCAAAGAATATTCAAAGGACCCCATTTGTTACAACTATACAAAGATATACATTTAAAATCTGGAATTACAGTTTTAACTTCCATTTACACTAAGAGGTGTTTGAGGACTCTTCAGTCTTTTTAATTAAAATTTAAAACCTTGTAATTATCACATTCTATACTTGTGTGCCTTTGAAGGCATCTGCAGCGCAGTGAAACTTCTGCGTCTGTCCTGGGGTTGAGAAGCTGCTGGCCACAGAGTTCAGCCAGAGACCATCAGGAAATGAGAGTGGGGGAGAGCAGGCCCAGAGCTGGGGAAGCAAGAAGGAGGGCAACGTGGTGTTTGGAGGAGGTTGAGTGTCACACAGGGGATGGGCAGGGTGCAGGAAGGGAAGCGTAGCTGTAAAGTACTGCATGACTGATGGGCTTTCCTTCCCTGCTTATAGCTCTCAAACTGCAACACATTCATTTTTAAAATGTACGTCCAGCATGTGGTCTTTTTTTTTTTTTTTTTTTTTTTTTTTTTGGTTTTTCTCCGGTACCGGGAACCGAACTCACGACCTTGCGCTTGCCAGGCAGGCGCTTTTGCCGCTGAGCTAAATCCCCAGCCCCTCCAGCATGTGGTCTTGATCAGACACTGTGCCAGGTGTTCTTGGTGAAGACAAATCAATACCAAAGATAAACCACGGCTATGCCCTCAAGGAGCATATATTCCCCCACAGCAGGCAAGAGGAAGATAGGGCAGAAAACTCTAAAGGAATACTTTTCCTCTAGTAACATACTATAGAAATGAGCCCTGAAAGTATAGCCTTTAGGGAATACTTTTTCTATGATATTTGCCATAACATGTCCTGAGTGGTTAGGACACAAAGTCACATGTCCAGAAGAAACTGTCTCAGCATCCCAAAGGTACTGTGCCATGAGAATCCCACGCCTTGCTCCAGAGGAGGGCAATCACTAAGATCTGGACCTGATCTTGTTGCTGTTGCTGTTGCTATTGTTGTTGTTGTTAGCACTAGGTATTGTACGTAGGGCCTTTTCCTTGAGCTATGTCTTGGTTACTTTTCTCTCATTACTGAGACAAAATACCTGATTCCCAAAATGAAGGAAGGAAAGGTTTATTTAGCGAACAGTTTGTGGAGGTTTCAGTCCATACTTGGCTGGCTCCAAGGCAGAGTGGCTCATGGCAGAGGGCAACAATTCATGGCTGCAGAAAAACAGCAAGAGCAGCAAGAGCAAAAGGGAGGAGCAGCAGCTGGAAAAGCAAGCCTCTTTTCCTCCCTTATATTGTAAGCAAGCTACCCGCCCCAGGGTGGGTGTAGCACTCACACCCGCAATCCCAGCATTGGACCACGGATTAATCATAAACCCTAGAAGCCTGCACACATGGTTGCATGAGGCTTTTGAGGGACATCCAGACACAAACCATAACAAGCTACATCCCCAGCCCTTTTATTTTTATTTTTAAATTCAGATCAGAATCTCAATAAGTCACTCAATTGTCCAGTCTTAACTGGAACTCACAATCCTCCTGACTCAGCCTCTCAGAGTGCTTAGATTACAGGTGTGCACCACATGTCTGACTTTGATCTTTTTTATAAGCCTAGAAAGCACATTTCAGAGCATTCCATAAAGGAAGCAAATGCAAGAGGACTGACTCCTACTAAATGAACCCACAGATGACTGAGGTACAAACCACAAGGCCCACTTACAACACTAGATCTGTACCAATGGGTAAGTTAGAATATTTTCCTAGAGTGGAAAACCATATCAAAACCAAATTATAACTAGAAGTGTTCAAGAGCCTCAGGAAACTGGATGACGGGGATTCTTTTTAGAGATGTGGTATTCTTCCAAGACAGGCCTTGTTATTTATTGCACATATACTAGATAATAATAAAAAAATTATGAAGTTTTCATTCTTTGACTCCCTATTTATTTAGGTTACATGCTGCTCTTCTGTTAATATTCAAACACAGTTTAATATAATTGATTAGATTTTATTTTCCTTAGTTAAAATCACATGTCAGTCATGCCTCCAACTTATGCCACTTGTGCCCAAATCTCATTGCCAACCTACTCGCAAAAGTCCTTGAGTTGTTTCTAGAATGATTGATCTCATGCACTGTTTCTGTGTTCGTGCATTCACAGTCAACCTTCTCTTGCATGCATTAACAACAGTGTGCTAATGATTCTTTCTTTTGTCTTCTTCAAGAAATCTAGAAGGACAAAATAGAATTACTCAGTTCAGAGGAGCAGTCCTTCTACTAGGAAATGAGAAAGCTGAATGAATGGTGTGATGATGCACCTTTACATTTTTTGGATTTTCCTCCCTGAAATTGATGTTGAGCTACTTCATGAACACAGATAAATTTAGCTCTATTACATTCAGCAAGAAAGGAAAAGTAACAGTTTAATCATTGGAGAAACGTTACACAACTTCCCAGTCAACCATCTTTCACCAAGCACAGAGACAATGGGAAGTGATTTAACCCACATTCCTTATGATCCTCACAGAGAGAAGGGCGTGTGTGTGTGTGGGTGTGTGTGGGTGTGTATGTGTGTGTGTAACATCATGCTCCTAAACACAATACTACTTCACTTGATTTTCAACTGTTTTTTCTGCCATACTGATTGTGCTGGGCACAGGTTGTGCCGCTCATGGACGATGTAAAGAAATGTCACTATTTTGACCACTGACAATTTTTATCTTACATGTCAAGCCTAAGTCCCTCACAAACTATGACTTTATTGTGCTTCTGAAATTTTTTACCATGACATTTTAAAGCTGACAGCAAATACTTTTAAAGTAATTCTATTTTCTCTGTATACAAAAGATTATTTCATTTGCCACATTTCACAGGAGAAAATAGTCTAGTCCCTTTTAATTATGTTATTAAAAGAAGACTAAATAGAAGTAGGAGCTAGGAGACATTATCAAGAGAAGAGTACTTCTCTTAGGAAACCAGAGAGTCCTGCTTTTATTCTGACAATTCCACAAGACCTAAGAGCTGTGCTGGGAACTGGTTTTTGTACTTTGGCTGCAGCACTAAGTCATGTTTTATGGATTCTTTTAATAGGAGAGCTTTGTTGCAATTTATTAAAAGCGAAGACAGACAGCACTAACCTACTAAAGGTCAGAAGGAAAAAAGCAGATGGGTCTTCTCCCCTGAATCAAGTGAAAATGGCCATGCCTGTCAAGATAGCATCTCCCTGCAGATGTATATATCACTTGTCCAAAAACAGGCATCTGCAATCCACAAAACTCCTCACTACAATTCCACACCATCATGGGCTCTAATAAGATGAGCAGTACTTGCTGGGTGATCCCAACCTGCATTAGAAATGGAACGAGATTCATGCTATGCAGATAGGGATTGGCATCCTGCTCCACTCCTTTGGAACAAACCTTCCTCACTCATAACATCACTAGCAGAGACTTCAGTGAGAACTAAACTCAGACTTCGTACCTGTTTGCATGCAAGAAACCAATCTCATCAAAGAGATCCCATCCCTAACAGACCCATGGTGACATCAGTCACTGACTTGTTTCTGTAGCGGAAGTCAGTGGCCACAGCAGCTCATGTGGTGAAACTGCCCCTCTGTGTTTGTAGGGTCAGTTTGTTTTCCAACATTTTCTCATTGTTTTCTTCACAAACGCCCTCGCTCCTTTGTTTCTGGTGGAACTCATGCTTTGAAAAACAAAAGCTACTGAACAAATAGTCAACAATACATTTTATACCTTTCAAGGCAAAATGGGAATTAGTGAACTAGATTTATATTCAGCTGACACAATCCTTGTTGTTACACAAGCTGTCATGTTCCATAATGAGACAAAGCAAGTTCCCACTTTTGATTATACTTTTCAGAAATGTAGGTGGTTGCCTTTGATGTATACATCACAAATAGTGATGCTACAATTTAATGCATGAATGTCAGTGGTAGTCACACATAAACAGTGTCTATTCAGAACTGAAAGAATATTACAGAATATCTAATTATGTCTTATCGCTTATACATAAACTTCAAGCATCAATTACTCAAATTACTCATCCAAGAATTTCTTTTTCCTTCACCTGTTCACCCACTGCTAACTTATGTAACTTATGTAAAACTTATGTAAAAAGAACATCAAAACAAGGTTAAAGATCTGCCACTTTCAGCAGGTGCAATGGCATCCTTCTGATATCCATGCTTATTACCAGAACCATGTCTATCATTTGTCTATTTCCACCCTTTTCTCTATAACATGAGGGAATACAATAGGCTATTCAGAAAATTTACAAATAAAAGTTGTACTGCACATGACAATGCCATTGTTAATAACCCTGGTTGGCAAGCAACACCACATAAATTTAAAATGATTATTTGGTAAGCTGAAACATGAATCTGAATTTGATTACAGAAGAAGGAATTGGGGGAATTTAATACATAATATACAAAAATTCAGGTCATTTAGAAGCTAACCCTATAAAACTGATCATCACTTAAACTGGAGGTAATGTTTCCCACAAATATTTCAAGCTTAAGACAACAACTTTGTGTAAAGGAACACTAGGATACATACTTCAGAGTTCTACAA